TTGTGATCGGAAAAAGATATGGACGGAGACGGAGACGGAGGCAGCACGGCGATGTACGGTGGACTCGAGACGTTGCAGTATGTACGGACGCATCATCAACATCACTGTAGAGAAAACCAGTGTACCTCTGCTCTTGTCAAACACATCAAAGCTCCTCTTCATCTCGTACGTCTCTTCTTGATTTGATCGATTTCTCTTGGGCTTTTTCTCCGATCTAGATCCGTTAAATTTCAGTTTTGATTTGTCAGATTTTACCTTAAATCTCTGAGTTAAGGTTTGAAATTTTTTTCTACCAAATATAGGTTTGGTCGTTGGTACGGAGATTTGATCAGCCGCAGAAATACAAACCATTTGTGAGTAGATGTACAGTCATCGGAGATCCTGAGATCGGAAGTCTAAGAGAAGTAAATGTAAAATCTGGTCTTCCTGCAACAACGAGTACAGAGAGATTAGAACTTCTTGATGATGAAGAACATATACTCGGTATCAAAATCATTGGTGGTGATCACAGACTCAAGGTATTCACTCTAAAAATATCTCATAGATGCAGATTTGTGTTATAGAGAAATATGATGAATTGTTGAAATGTTTGAATTTGTGTTAGAATTACGCTTCGATTGTGACGGTTCATCCAGAGATAATCGAAGGAAGAGGAGGAACAATGGTGATTGAATCTTTTGTAGTTGATGTTCCTCAAGGAAACACAAAGGAAGAGACTTGTTACTTTGTTGAAGCACTCATAAGATGTAATCTCAAATCATTAGCTCGTGTTTCTGAAAGATTGGCTTCTCAAGACTTAACCAATCTCGTCGCTGCATAAAATCTGTGTACGTAGATCAAGTTTGAAGAATTATCCATGAATTCTAGTGTATGATACATATTTCATTAGAGAATATTTTTTTTTTTGGTTTGGTAAATTATGCGTGATAGTTAATGATCACACCTTGTTAAACAATGTTTTTTTGTTGTTGTTGTTTCTCTTCCAATGGTGAATTTTTGATGTAAGATTAGCTTTGAAGTGTTTGTAGATATTTTTGTAAAAAAAGGACAAATATAAATGTGAATGTGAAATGTTTATGTATAATACTAATTAATAGTTTTCGAAGATGTGTTGCAACTTTACCCATTGTGTGTGTGAGACAGAGAGACCGATTTTGAATTGGAATTTAACGGTACTAAAATGGGATTCTGAATGTAATATTTTACAAAAGCCAGGGGTAAATAAGAAAATGACAGTAGTCCACCAAAAAAATCTTCTTCTTGAAGAAACGGCACCGTTTTCGTTTCGACGGTTTGTTATCATTATTACTTGACCGGTTTTAAAAGAGAGGAACCGAACCCTCTTTGTGACCGGTTTAAGCTTTGAACAAACAAACAACCATTTTTTTGTGAAGCAGATCGATTTTGAAAAATTTTGGATTGCAAAAAAAAAAAAAAATCAAATTTTAGGTCGAGCGGGAAAAAAAATTTGCTCCATGTCCGATAATCTCTCATCAGGTTTGGGTTTTCTCAATCGCAGTTTTCTTTCTTTCGATTTTCTCTTTCGTGTTCTTACGCTTTACTCTCATGAATCGATCTCTCTCAGTCTGTAATTAATGGCGAGAACGAAGCATTTCGCAAGACGAGGTCAGAATCGAACAGGTATTATTCTACCTTATGCTTTCTCCTCTTTCAATTTCATCTAATCGGGATTTTAGGGTTTTTTTTGTGTGTGTTTGGTAACCCTAGATTTCGAATCTGAAATTGTAGATGCTAACGTTTCCTCTTCGCCGGCGGCAGGTCCGAGTACGGTACGGCGTTATTTTCCGTTTTGGGGGTTTCGAGTCTTAGATATGAGATTTTACTTTTTATCTTGTGTTGGGTTTTTGTCGATTTTGTTTATTCATCTATTGGAATCGTAGACTCCGGCGAGAAGGGCTAGTGAAGATGGAGATGATGCTCAACAAAGTGAGTTTTTTCTTGGTTTTTAAAATGTTATCTGAATCTTTCTCCAATTGTGTGTAAACTTTTTACTTTGTGACAATTGCAGCAACTCCTGCAACTTCACCAGCTACTGGTAGTAAAGTAAGATTTTAGACATTTGCTTATTGAACTTGGATTTTCGTTTTTGCTGAATTTTATGATTCATTTTGTTTGTAAAGAATAGTAAAGGAGGAGCTAAGAGAACTATGCCACAAAGTGAGTTTGAAATATCTTATGATCATATCCCTCAGAATAATGCAGAAACATCTTTTGTGTGTTTATCGAATCTTTGTCTTGTCCCTTATAGGTTCACAGAAGAAGCCTCATCGATACAGGCCAGGAACCGCTGCTCTGAGAGAGATTCGCAAATTCCAGAAGTCCACAAAACTTCTAATTCCTGCTGCTAGTTTTATCAGAGAAGTAAGTTTCTCGTTTTCTCTATTGACATAGCATTTTGACTATAATCCAGACCAATCATGAGCTTGTAATCTAATTTGTCTTTGATGTTATTGGCTTATAGATTCAGAGCCATATGATTTCTGTAACTACAAAGTTCTCGAATCTGTTTTGCTATATCTGTTTAATGACTTCAGTCTATAGTTATATCCCAAGATTCTTTCTGGTTCTTAGGTTATGCTTAAGATGAATATACAGTGATCTGGAAATGCTGATTCTTGTGTTCTAATCAGAATGATACAATACATTGTTGTACCAGGTGAAAGATATAACCTATACTTATGCTCCTCCGCAAATCACTCGTTGGACAGCTGAAGCTCTTGTAGCTATCCAAGAGGTACCAATCCTTCAACTTCTTCTTCCATATGAATGTTTGAATACAGAAACAGAGAGTCACACATAATGTCATTTTCCCCCTTTTGACTGATCCACCTAATCGCCATATTCTTTTGTGCAGGCGGCAGAAGATTACTTAGTTGGTTTGTTCTCAGATTCAATGCTTTGTGCTGTTCATGCAAGACGTGTTACTCTAAGTAAGTACTTCAAAAGAAGACATTTTCAGACTCAATTTAGGAATCATACACATACCTCTATATCCCTTTGAAACAATATTTACTATAAAATCATATGTAACATGACTCTTCCAAATCTATTTGTGACCATTTCAGTGAGAAAAGACTTTGAGCTTGCACGCCGGCTTGGAGGAAAAGGCAGACCATGGTGATGGAAACTCAAAAACTATCTCACATCTCTTACATTGTAAGTGAGTATCAAAGAGGTAATTACAAATTAGTTGCAGGTTGTACAAGATTATGCACTCCTTATGGCTTGTAATGCTTGTATTTTTTTTTCAACTTACCCAATACTTTATTTTGAAAATTGGACTGTAACGCGAAACCGATTCGATTCAGTTTCTAGGTTGAAAAACTTCTTTCTCTGTGTTGGTTTCTTATCTGCTTTTTTCCCTGGAATTGATTGTAGAATTCACTWGACAAATATGTGCTTTTGAAGGGGTTGTGATTGAAGGAAAGAAAAGTTAAGAGGAAGATTTTAAAGAACACATTTTTCCGAGGGGGCTAACAGAAATATATGTCTAGATGGCTAATGGATTCCCAATTTCAACTTTTTAAGGCATATTAGAAAGTTTGAGATATCCTTTGGCACTTCAAATAATATACTGATTTTTGTTTTGAATAAAATATATACACTGCTTTTGTTATGATTATTCGCATAAACATTTGTTATTTCATAACGTCGTCATAGAAATTAAAAAAAAAAAACTTTTATAATTCATCACCTTTCAATGTTGCCACTGTGTGGTAAAATCAACTTTCTAAAAGCTCGAATTTTCGAGTTTCTTAGACATTTATACTTAAAACTCTTTATTTCATTGTCAACTCTTTATTAATTTTTCCCATGCTTTGTAATTTTGTTTTTCTTAACATCTCCGTAAAATGCCAGTGCTGAACGAACAAAAAATCAAGTTACCGAGATCGAAACAATATATATTTTTTTTTGACAACTGAAACAATAATATAAAAATCTGATGGTTCATGAATCATGACATAGTCCCAACAAAATTAAAGAAACAGAATTACGTGTCATGTTCAGTTGCAACTGCATAGTTTGTTCAGTACTTAGCTCAACTTTTTTATTTTAACTACATAAATAATAAAATCGAACAAAATAAAAAGAAGCTTGGAATAAAATTGCAATGTGTATAATGGGGAATAAAGGGAATATCCACAACGCTAAATTAGTTTTATATTCAACCCTAACAAACTTTCAACTCACCTTTTGATAGTTCTAACAATATTTTTTCATTAAATTGCGAATTTAATTCAAGCGAAAACAAAAATGTAATAGTAGATCCTAATTATTTGTTTTTCCTCACTTAACAAAATATGTTTAAGTCTTCGATTATATGTTCCTATGCTTATAATCAACCGTAGCTCTTGTAAATGATATTATTGATGACTAAATATTTGTTTTCAAATATATACATAAATTTAATATACGAAAACTCGGAACATTTTTGTTCCTTATGGAAAATCAGAACAAAATTTCAAAAATTTTAAATACCCATATTTACTGCAAGATCACAAAAATGTATAGCATGTAAATGTTAACGACATATGCAGTCTATACGATAGTTGATTAACAGTATTGTGTTAGTTTTTCATTTAGTTTCATGCATAATAGTATATAGTATTTATTTAAGGATTAGTATAAAACATCAACCTAAGCCAATTGTATGATTTTTTAAATAGCAATTACACAAGACCATGACGGAGTAAATGATGTAATGAAATGATTTCTATTGGTTACCAAATGAAATAATCCCACAAGCATTACACACACATACTGGCATAATACTGTCACCATAAATTGCACATTAATTAATCAGAATAGTATTAAAGATTGTGACAAAAAAAAAAGAATAGTATTAAAGATTGCTTTAGTTAAGTTAAATCCGATTTAAGGAAAAGTAAAGTACATAATTCCTTAATGTGGAAACCGACCAAACCGGTCGTTAAAATTTGACACTATAAATAGAGAAGAGGCTTCTTGTTCTTCCCTTCAAAATCCACCATTCTATCTCTCTCTCTACACCTCTACCTTAAACCGTACTAAACCGTATTGATTCTCACACGTTTGTACGGTATAATCGTAAACCTTGGTATTGTCTAGTACGGTGTCGTTTAAGATGGATAAGCAGCGCAAGCCGAAGCATCCCAAGACTAATGCAACCATTGTTGCTTCTTCTTCTGAAGGTATTAAAGGAATTTCTCAAAGCTAACTCTTAATCTACACAATCGGTGCCG